TTTATTCGTTTTCATCCGCTTCTTTTTCCCTTTTTCTCTCCCATTTGCCAAAATTTGAAAAAGAAATTATAGAGCAAAAGCCCTAGCGGTTTCTTAAGAAATCCCAGCATCTTCCTCACGAAGCTAGACTCCCGCAGCCATGAAAGCAGCAATCCGCGACCTTGAGCCCCAATTTTCCGGCGAGAAGGTGAACGGCGACCCTCGATCTCCGACGGGGCTGCGACCTTTGGGAGCATCAACATCCACGAGCCGCAACTTCTGAAATCCGACCCCGTCTGATGAGCCGCGACCTTGTCCAGCAAATCGAAAAAGTTCCCCAGAGCCGATGACCTGAACCAGATGCGAGCCGCCGCAACCCAAGCTCTAATTTCCGGCGACGAGGAGCAGCCGAGAGTCATCATACTGCAGACGAGTCCGACCCGAGCTCATCCGCGACTGACGCAGGCCCGAAGTAGTCGTGTCCAGCGGTCGAGAGCATTGCCGGAAGGCTGAGAGCAGGCGGGGCACGGTCGAGAGCGGCAGCAGGCTGGGTCGTTTCTGAGAGCAAGCCGGGAGTATCACCACAAAAAAAACAAGAAGCCGAGAGCAAAGGATCGAGACCCGAGCCTGGTTTCTTTTCCATTTTAAATCCTGATCGAGGTATAATGGCTGAGCTCCTTTGTACTTTTGTTGGCCGAATTCATATGCTTTTATGTGCTTAGTTTGGTTTAAAAGAGTCATGTTTATATTCGGTTAAACTGTGAGATAAGTGAGCAGGACATGGGTGATTGAGTTTTGTGCTTTCTTGTTTTGCTTGTGTTGTTGGGGTTGTTAGCATGTTAATTTGGTGCTGGGAGTTGTGTTTTTAGCATGCCATGAATGTTGAGAAGTTTGAAAGTGAAAGCATGAATTTTGGTACCTTTTTGTCTTGATTTGTCAGTTGTTTGAGCCTCAGTTTTTGTTGTGTTGGCCTCGCTGAAAATGAGCTATTAATATGTTAGTTTCAGCCACGATATGTATATTTCATGCCTTAGAATCAAGAGGAGAAAGTTTAAGCAAGTATGTTATGTCATTTTTTCTCTGTTTGGGCTTTGTGTTTGTTGAGCCTTATTGTGGGTCTAGCATGTTATTTATGTA